ATTTTAAATGATCTTGAAAATACAATATTGTAATCTAAACCATTTACAGATTTGGGTTATCATATGCTCCTAGAGATTCATAACTATATTTCATTTTACCACTGCAGTAACTTACAGCATGCTGTCTCTTCGTGTTAGCTGATTATGTGCATAGTAATATTGAAATTTATATAATTTTTCATAAGCTAAATACAGGAAGTTTATATGACCACTGCTTACTATACTGAGATGTCAAATTCAGTTTTAAATTATTTATTTCCTTTATTACAGTTATTTCTTCTCTCATATATTTGATTTAAGCATGTCATATGTATTATGGATGCATTATGCTAAACTAGGAAGAACATGTCATACATTTCAATAGGAGTAAGCAGAACTGGCCAGTGTTTAATTTCAAGTGAGTTATCTGTGTAGTATGAATATATGTTGTAATGTTATGTTTAAGGTAAGACCTTGTAATCTATGTATTAAATGACAGTGTATATGAGCTTGAAATAATAGTTTGTGGTTAAAAAATGAAATAACCATAGAAAATGTAAAACAACCTGAAAAAACCCCATTAAAACTGCCTATTGCAATCCTGTTGAACTTATAAAAATATTCAAAAAAATTATTTAGTTTTTGTTATATATCATTTGTTGATGTTATGAAAAACATCCAATATAAGTATGTGCCATGAATCATGGGGAATACTTAAAAGTATACAACAAACTTATTATCATAATGCTTATTTCACATACTTTATCAATTTTAGTCACATATTTCATTTTTCACAAAAAAACAAAATAAAAAATGTGTTCTGATTAAAACAAAAGGCTTATACCTATAAGTTAATTTTAGCATGTGACACATTTGAAATACCAATATATGAATTTAAGTCTATGTTTTTTTTTCATGGATATTAGGTTTTACAATTAGTCTTAATTTTTTCCAAAATATCTAATAAGACATTATGCAATATTGCTTGGGAAATTATTGTAAAATAATGTTTTCAGATATCTGACTCAGAAAACAATACAATATCTGGTAAATATATCAAGGAATTAGGCAAAACAAGCACCAAACTATAGAAGTTTAATGGCTTATATTTACAAAATTTAAGCTGAGCTTTAGAAATACTGTTATTAGAAAAACTGTGTATGTAGTTTTGAAAAGTAATTTCTTAAAATTTCTATTCCCAAAATTTCTACTAGATTGTGTTGGAGTTATCTGCAGCTTGATAGACATTCCTGAAAACCAAAACCACAGTGAATAGTCATTACATGTGCTGCCCTCTGAAAATGTGTAGAATTTTAGATGTGTTTTTAGTAGATGTAAGCTGTTGGTGTTGTAATATTGTGGTTCTTTAAGTTCTGTCACTCAGCATGATTTATTCTGTGGTGTCTGCATACATGTAAGTGGATATGGCTGGTTTTCTACTATCACAAGTCTCAAATTCTCACTTCTCTGTTCGCATGACTTTTAATCCTGTCATGTGCATGGCAGTTGTTAGTGATTTTCTGTGTTCAGTCATTTTCCCCTCCACATACATGTATGCACGTCTTAGATAAATCATCTTAATATAAAAAACTGTGATTTGTGATAATTTGTACACTAGGAATATTTTCAATTGATGAAAGAAATAGTTTTCCAAAAAAGTGTTAATTGTTTTTGTTTTAAAAACCTTAAGATATTGCACTTCACTGATGATGCCACTGTACACTACTCTTCACAGTTGAGATATGATGTTATTTATTTGTTATTGTGTTTCTCCTTATACATTGTCCGTTCATGTTTATTTCATTCTGTATCTATTGAATTATCTCATAGTAATATTCTAAACAGATAGTGTTGTTTCTGTTTTAAGATGGCATAATTATAATGATGTAAGTATTGTAATTTTTTATATATGATTTTCTCTTAACTTATATGGGTGGTATTGGATGCAACTTTGAACTTCTGAATGTTTACAACAATTTGTAAGGATTGATTAACATTATCTCAATTTGCTTAGTTGGCAACTAGGTTGCAGTTGCTGGATTTAAAACATAAGTGCTTACTGAAAATACTCATAGCCTGTCTTATATGTAATTTCAAATTTATTTTCATTTCATTTGCTCACTAGGTGGATCCCTTCTCTCCGTTTAACACCAGATGGAGAGTATTCGCACTTTGTTGAAGGACTAGGTCCGGGTCAGCTTGTTGGTCGACAGGTTTTGGCATCCCCAAGTCTAGGAGACATTCAACTAAGCCTATGTGATCGAAAAGGAAACCTTGAAATTGAGGTTATTCGTGCAAGAGGGTTGCAGCCAAGACTAGGAGCAAAGTTGTTACCAGGTGAAAATCAAATCTCTTCAGAGTAATATTAAAAACCAAAAATATAAATAATAATATGATACATTGTATGTGAATAACAGCAGTTAAGACAAAAATTAATATGAATCATATTGAGGACATTTTATGTTGAGATGGCACATTATAAAAGAATCCTAGCAATAAAATCCAAAAATTTCTAAGTGTCATAAACACCAAAATATCAAGTAAAATAACTTATATAAGATTTCAACAAAATAAGTAATCAAAAGAAATTTTACAAAACAACCTTATTAGTTATTCTAGTAATCATAGTTGATGGTACATGCATATTTCTTCTATTTCAAGAAAAAAAACTTATTTGTTTTTATACATCATCAACTGTGTACACTATTTTTATAAACAATGATCAACTGAAGATTATTTTTTAGTCTGGGGCTTAAGAAAAAGGATCCAATTTGTTTAAAATATATATTAGACAGCAGTTGCTTTGTAGTTTACTCTTACTTATGTTCTACTTCAGTAGGTGTCTTGATACACTTGCATATTTACCCTCACCAAATCAAGGAGTTCTAATAACTTGATTGTACTTATGGTTGTGACAAAGATTCACCTGAATTAGTGTTCCAATCTGTTTGTATGTGGTTATCTAAGATTTCTGTTGATTGAGTAGTGTTTTCCTTTTCCTCTCCCTCAGAGTTTCCAATTTTCCTCGCAGTAAAGTTTTCATTATTAGAAAAAGTGGCTGACATTTGAAATTTAAAAAACAGTGAAGGCCATCAATTTTGTCAAAACAGAACTTGTAGTTTCTACCAACCACCAAATTTACTAGTCCAACAGTAACGCTGAGAATAAAATTGAAAAATCATTAAGATAGAGGAGTGTCTATAGATAAAATGTGGAAAGCCACCATTGAAAAAAACTTTGTAGTAAACATTAACACTTTGGAAACAACTGATCAACAGAAATAGTCCTAAAAATACCTAATCATATCAATCCAGTTCATAGCTATAAAGAGTTTATAAAGGGAAATGCAAGCATTCCAGACATTTTTGAGTTAATCATATCAAGACAAACTCAACTCTTTGAATGTTACAGTTTTTTGTAGAATGATGGTGTAGTTATCAAGGATTATCATCAGAGAGTAAAGTTTGCAAAAGGATGATATCATCATGGTTTTTACTTTCTGTGTTTTGTTGGATTTTTTTCCTACTTATTTTTAATATAGTTTACAATGACATTTCAGTCTAACTTAAACGTTCATAGTTCATTGCATAAAAATTCAAGACCAAACAAGCATGTAATTACACATAAACATTCCTATACTTCATTTTCTTTCAAAAATATAAATATTTTCCAATAAAGTAAAGATTTCTCACTTGTTTCAGTAAACTTAATAGTGGGAAAACAGAAAAAACCAGTATTTTTCATTAAATAAACAAACACTTCAAGTAAGTTTTAGCTAGCTCTCAATATTTATTAGTTTTATTCATCATGGCCATTACCCAAAATATCAATATTTGAAACATGTCTTGAATACACAGTACAGTATGTAAACAGTGACTTTGTTTTGTGTTACCAGCACCTTATGTTAAGGTGTACTTAGTTAATGGGAGGAAATGCATCGCTAAAGCTAAAACATCAATTGCACGGAGAACTCTGGATCCTCTCTACCAACAACAGTTGGTTTTCCATGAAGACTACCGAGGGTGTGTCCTCCAGGTAAGATATCTTTTACTCATACTTATCTTTTTCCAAATAACTACTACTTTATTTTTCTCCATTTTTGCTTCAACCTTTATTCATGCTCTATTCTGTATATGAATTTTATTTATGCTTCTAGCTTTTAACCTTGATTATTTCACTTGTTAAATTCTGATAATTGCTTTCATCCTTTATTGATTTTCATACTAGCTGATGTACCCATTCAGCACATGAGGAAGACAGGGAGGGGCAAGAATCCATTTGCATGTTTTTCAGCATCAATTTTTTTCATTTTGTTTTTTCAGGATCTTCATTTGACTGTCAGCTGTTGTCTCTATGCTTCAGTTATCCTAATTTTTGCTAAGCTTTCTTGATTTTGTCATGCCATCCATTTACATTCTCTTTCTAAGCAACACTTTCTTTCTTGCACTATCTCTGAACTATTTTTAGTTTTATTCAGAATTTTAATTTAAAAGTTATTTCACAGATGGTGCCATAAGCATTCAAGTGAAATGAAAAGCTAGGTTGGCTTGATGCTGTAAACATGCCATCTTTTAATTCTAATGTTAACTAATACCTCAAATCCCTAATTGAATCTATAATAGTATTGAAAGAGCTTGCGCCAAATGTGATCGTTTATTTTTAAAAATTAACATGGAATCCCAACTTGACTAGGAGCTGTAACCACTGAGCCACTTTGACATCCAGTGTTTCAGCTCCAATGTTAACAAATATTAATTCCAAGTATCATGGTATTTGTGTTTCTCCTTTTATTGAAAGAGCTTTCTCTAAACTTGATTACTTATTTTTTGTAAATTATAAAAAATCCCAACTGTACTGGTATTTGAACGCAATACTTCTGTTTGAGGTTCGGGCATTCTAACTACTGAGGCAATTTAATAAGCATTTCTTGCAGCGTGTATATTACTTCAGTATTTTGTATGGAATGGAACAACACTTCAGTAAAGTCCCTCATACTGTTATGCTTTTATTTAAAATTAGAGTTTAGATAAAATTCCTTTGTAGTCTTATACTTCTTAATAAGGGCCCTTTATGCTCCTTTTTTTGTGAGTTCCTATATTTTGTAGGTAGAGCCCCTTTCTTTTGATGATCATTTTAGTTCATTACCTTCTGGGTGAGTTCCAGATAAAGTCCCACCTTGCCCTTATCTTTGTTTTATTAATAACTTCCAGGTAAGGTATCTCTTTGCATGCTCTTCCTGGATTTATCATTATCTTCAACCTATTATTCATGTTTGCTACTGATCCTTTTGCTTTGTTATTTGTGTTATTATTGTCCATTTAAAATTTGTTCTTTACTTATTATCTTGAAGGTAAACCTTTTTAAAACTGCTGTTTCTTTTATCCTTCTTTTGTTATCTTACAAGTCCATTCCATCGTATATTTTTATTCTTGCAAGTAAATTTGTGTGACTAGTACACTTCTTCATTATTTTACAGAATAAAAAAATATCATTTGACTTTTATTTTTGTTAACATTCTTTTATATACTGGTCACTTTTAAATTAGTCTTCATAATCCTAACTTCAACAGATATAATGAAAATATAATAGTTGTGTTGAGAAACTTACCACTATTTTTAACATATTTAATTATGGTGGATCATTTATTTTTCTTCATGCAAAATTCTTTATAAAGGGTTTTTGAAACCAGTGATAAAATTAATATCTTAAAGTCTAACAAGAAAATGGTAATTCGAATACTGCGTAAAATACATTCATTGTTTTACCTTACATTTTTCTATAGATTTTTAACCAAAAGCTTTGGGTAAAGGTATAATGAATATTAATTCATGCCAGATAGTTCTCTTTGGAGAATGAAAGCTTGTCCACTATTTAAACCTATAACTATAGTAATGGGGCTCCAAATAAATATTTATAATGTTGTCTCTGCCTAGATGTCTTGGTAAAATATACAATGTTTGTAAGATATTTATTTACTATAGAATATCGAAGGACAACTTTCTACCTGACAAACATTGAAGGAAAAAAATTAAAAAAAAACTCCAATCCGTATTGGTATTTGAATGTGAGACTTCCACCTGAGGTTTGGACACTCTAACTGCTGAAGCAACAGGAATGAGAATGGAATTTCCTTGGGTTTATGATGAGGAACTCACAGTTTTAAATGTTCTTTTGTAAAGGTTCTTAATACTTTCAAATTTCCAAGTGCTCTAACTTTAATATATAATAGAAAAGCCTCTCATATAGCTAATAAAATCATAATCCATCTTTTTTTATGTCTCAGATACTCTATGAAGTATATGATGAACATTTTCCCATGATACTTTTAATTCATAATCTATTGGTTTCATGTTATTCCATTTTTATATGTCAGAATATTTTGTTACAAGCCATTTGAATATTTTTCTTCTCAGGTAACAGTATGGGGTGATTATGGTCGAATGGAAAAAAAGGTCTTCATGGGTGTATCTCAGATCATGTTAGATGACTTAGATCTTTCCAATATTGTGATTGGATGGTATAAACTGTTTCATCCCTCTTCACTGGTAAATCTGCCAGCTAGTGGACAGAGAAATAACCTTGTTTCCATGGACAGCTTTGGTTGAATATTCTGTTCAGTCACCTTGTACATTATTGAGGTTACAAGGGGGAGATAAGTCATATTAAAGATGGCTGACTATGCTGGCTCCTTGATGGTGCATATCACCTGCATGCTGAGATAAAAGATTTACTCAGAGTGCCTGCTGTGACATAAGAAGCTAATGTTCCAAAGGAGTTTCAAAGACTTATTAGTGTTACAAACTTTGCTCTTTCAAATTTTATAAAGATATTTCTCTTTCAAATGTTCTTCCGCCATCTTGTTGTTTTATTGGAGAAGATTAATAGCCTTTAAACACATGGACTGATGCTTGGGTTTCAAAGGAAATGTGAGCTTCTTCACACCAATACCTCACATCTTCAGTCATCTGCCTTTGGCTGAGTTACATAGAGGTGCGCATGTGCGGAGCTATGCCGCTGTGCTACCAAACCACAAGTGGTCTTATTGCACGTACCTGAAAAGATGGAACACTCCTGTAAATGATGAAAACAAATGTTAGAACTACAATGGACATATGCAACTATCTTGCCAAATAGAATCATTTAGCTGTTGATATTAGAAGTAAGTAAAAACCAAAGTTTCATGAGGTTAAGATGTTAAAAAATAAATAATCTTTGCTGCATTCATTCCTTGTGTGACCTAGATCGCTAGATGGCACCCATAGTTTGATTTGGTTGATGTTTGTAAGATAGATCAGAGTACAGGGTTGTGTATACTATGGTGCTGTTTGACTCTTTGTTCAAAACAGCCATAACTTCCATGGTGAAATTTAGCAAAACAAGAAGCATCAAATGATATTTGTCAATAAATAAAATAGATATTACAGTGTTATAAAGCACTGGCTTTGAGAGAAAATAAATTAAACAGTGATTTAGAAAATTAGCTTCTTATAAATTCAGCAAAAAGTCTAAAGACACAACATTTCATGTGCTTTTTTCATTATATGTAAATGTTGATCTTAACTACTTGTAGTTTTTACAATTCAACATAAAAGAAAACTCTTTCAAGTCCTTCAGTAGGTTATTGTTTTGACTAAAAAAAGGTAAAAATAGATGGCAGCTTAATCATCTTTTTTTTTTTCAAATACTAAATTTTATAAGAAAATTTATCTAATTATTTAGGTACTTTTTGTAGCTTTTTTTTTTTACCAAGTATGAGATATCAGATAAATTTTCCAAAAGAAAGCTTGTTTGGTTTAAAATTTACCAAATTAAACCAAACAATTAGAGATAAATTTCCTGTTTATATTGATGTGTTTGATAAAATCATTCATCATGTCATTGAAAAATTATTAACCAGGTGTAAAAAAAACAATTTTGTCTTTATTAAATATCAAAATATTTTCTGTTTCTACTAAAATGAAATAAAAATAATGCTAAAGTATAAAATATTGTTTTAATAATTAAACTGAAACATTCTCATAAACTAAATATGTTAATGAATAATTGACAACTATATTATATTTCAAGCAAGTGGGCTGCTTGATGCAGGTGTTGTTTGATAATTTCCCATTATTAGTAAACCATAATAACTAAGACAAAAAATAAAACATTCTTCCTTTAGAATTATGAGTTCTGTATTTATATGTTGTATTATTATATGGTAATCACCTTGTTCTGTGTATTTTAATGACTACAAAATTTAGAAAAGTATAAAGTGAAAACTCTTTTTTTCCCTTTCCATTGTTTGTTACATCTTTAAAACTAAATATAAGGAGTAACTTGATTGCCAATGAATTCAACAAGTAAAATTATTGCTTAATTTTATAAAATATTTCAAAGATTAACAAGTGAGCTTCTTTAACAAAATAATTCATACATATCATGTAAATACTATCCTTCATAGTTTCAAAGAGTAAAATTTTTCCCCCCTTTTTTAATTCAGTATTAATTTGTTTCTCTTTTTCTTTACTAAAATCAAAGTTTGCATATTTAGTAAATAAATTTTACAGGCAATGAAGAATGTAAAATGAGCACTACTGTTTAAAAATGTGCCTTAAACTCTCTTCATGAATGAGGGTCTTTCAAATTACTCTGATTTTTTTTAAATTTTCTGCAAAGTTGAGTTAGTTTTAAGCCATAATGTACACAAACTTATGTCAGAAACTTCCAATATCTGCTGATTGTGGATAGAAATATATAATCCATAGCTATATTTAGACGACAGACTGTTTTAGGCATAGCATGAAAACTGCTTTCAAGATTTGTCTTACCAAAAATCTAAGATGTTAAAAAAAGATATATACATCTGTCGTCCAACTATTTTAATTAACAGCGCACAAAAACATTGAAAACTATTAATTAAAACCTTACATCATACATTTTGCATACCCCCCGACTGTTTACTGATTCAAAGTGGTAGGAATGCATTTTGGAACTTTGGGTTTTAGTGTTAGTAAATGTCAGAATTCGCTATGTTTCAATTTGTGATGGGGTAATGCCCTTCCTTTAGTATCCAATGACAGAGCCACATGTTATGGAAATCGTAGGATTAAACAAATGATTTGCTGCATGTAAAAAAAATAAAAATTAATGTCTGCACACACACACACACAAAGCTGTCTTAAGTGTTTTAGCCTTTTTAAAATTTTTTTCTTTAAATATATGATAATAAAGTTTAGGTATTGACTGAAAAGGAACAACTTGATACATTCAGCTGTAAAAAAAAAGAAACATAAGAAATTTTCTGCATGTATAATCTTTAAGAATAATCACTAGTTTAGCAAAAATGTGTATTTATCCTGGATATTTACAATTTTATATTTTTCCCTTGTGGCTTGCTTGCTCTCAGAACTAGTTCTTCCTGGTCATTGTTCTTAATTGATTGAATTATAGATAGGTAATGTTTTTTAATGGAATTATGAAAGGAATTTAACACACTAATTCACATTTTGTACAGAAAATGAATTCTTATTGCAAAATGTGCATATATGTAGTTTGATTTTTCTATAAACTGATAATATACACAGTGCACAATACTTAATTGTCTATATTTGTTAATATTTTCATATTATACAACATACAGACATTTAGCTGATTAATATGTAATAGTGTTCGTTCTTTTATTTTGTTAAAGAGTGAAATTCTTTGATGACTTTTATTAAAATGATTAATAAAGATCAGCCAGAAATATTGCATTAAGAGTAATTTGTTGAGGTTCAGTGTTATTTACGTTCATGTACCACGTTTATATGCTTATGCTTGTCATATCTGTTAAAGTGAAGGAATTCCTGAAAGTTTACTGTGATAAAGGTATTAGTTTTGTGTTGTGGTTCCATCATAGATCGTTAGAAAGTAAAGCTTACTATTAATAAGATTGTGAATGAATATTGTTTTGTGAACGAATATGTTTATTTGTGACAAGTGATGAATAAATTCATCCTTTAGGTAATTACTGTTGCCAGTATGGAAATATTAAGAACAGATATATCGAACAAGTAGGTTTCATGAAATATGAATGAACTACCCAAATAGATGCTTATTTTCAGGATGTTAACCAACTTTTTATCGTGTGTTAGTACTTCTGTATATTGTATTACGCCTATCTTTTCGTATTCTGTTTCGTTTATTGTTCAGATAGTCATAAACTGGATACAGTCGTCATTGCATCATTAATTATGTTATGTACTTGTTAAATAGACGAGTGTGAATTTAGTGAAACTAAACAAATAATTTTCGTTTCACTGTTAAACAATTTTAAAGTTGTTGCCTTTCATCCAATGAAAACTCTTTAATGGAACAGTTGATAAAATGGGTTTTCTAGAGGTTATTTATCATCATACTCTCAACATAAATCAACCAGTCATGGCTTTGTCGTTTGAATTATACTTGAGTGCACGTGAACATCAAGAACTGTGTATTTGAAAATAATTTTGTTAGAGCATAGTTATATCTGCTTTATTTTCTGTATATATTTGTTGTGAAGGTCACCAAAACCTACCGAATTTGACCGTAACATCATCTTCATTCTTGTTGGAAAATTGAGTTTCACTAAAATTATTACATTGACTTTCTCGTCAATGGCAGTAGCCGAAGTAAACTGGCTCTCTTCCATTAATCAATGATTAATGAACAAGTTTGAAAATATCGTTCCATGATATGTGAGCGCTATGTAATTTTCAAGCTATGAAATTTGCTTAAGGTGTTTTACGATCTAAGGGTTGGAAGAAGTTTATTTTTAGGTATTTGTTTTAAATTTTTCTTTTGTTTATTTAATAAAAAAACAAACTTGCCACCAACTTTTGTGAGACAAGTTATAGCTGAAATCAAAACAATTTCTGTGACGCCTTGTGTTAGGTTGGAATTGTTTTATTTTTTTTGTGCTTCTTTATGTAAAATAAAGATTCTTAACGTTTGGGTTGAATTTGGCAGATCTTTGAAGCGTTGAAACATACAAATTCAAACTACGATTCATTAACTGAAATCAATCTATTGTGTTTTATTTATTTGTAAGATGGAAAAATGTAAACGTTTTTTTGAAAGAGTAAGATATAGACGCAAGTTATATATCAGTTGTCTAATGTACAAACTACTCAATAAAACTGATCTGTTTCACGAAATTTTCGTTCCACAAAGCATTGCTGAAAAAATAGAAAGATGTTGTTTTCAAATGGTGGACATTTTTTAAAAACATATTCCAAAGTGTGGTGCTGAATTTGTTACAAAGCTAAGTCAAGTTTTATTTAAGTAACAATTTTATTTTTTGATTTTCATCTCGAAGGAACTTTATAATGTGTAAAACATGCTTTTTTTTAAAGTTCGAGTTGTGTTTTATAAAACTTCCATCGACCAGTGATGTAATCATATTTCAAAAGTAAAACATTTCTAAAGTGTGACCTTTTTTCCGGTTTCTACTACTAATCATAGAGAACTATATGTATTCGTAACAAAAAGTAAAAAAAAAGAACACTGAGCCACCTGTTAGCTCTAAACTTTAAGGTTTGTTATCGAACACCCTGGATGCATATGGGATAAAAGCTGCATGAACTACTTTTCTTTGAAGGAAAAAGACTGTTTCATAGTATTAACTTTATATGAAGTTGTACCCATTTTCATTTCTCACCAAATAAATCAAAGAAGTACAAAAAACATGCATAAGTGTGTGCGGGTAGAGTACAACTTTTAAGAATGACAGTATACGGGGGGGGGGGGGGTTAATAGCATTTTATGAGAACGATGCTTCATATATTCTTGGAACTACTTCATCATTGACTGTGCTCAGTGAGATAGCGAACATTACATACTAATGCTTGACACTGCAATTCCCATAGTAACAAACTTTTGCGAAAGACGTCTAAGTTTATCTTTAAACCACATACTTTGAAAAATATTCCACAGACCTTTCAACGTTTATACAAACCAAAAGTAAAAACGTTCATTGGAGCTGTTCCTTGGGAGGGAGATTGTTCTGATTCCACTTTCTTCATTCATCTTTTCCTTAAAAAACCCTGTGATCTTTATTGATTATCTTGTTAACAATACAAAGAGATGTGACCAACTTTATTGCAATATGATTATCAGGGTCGGAGGTCTCTATTTAATGGACGAGAATATTGGGTTGCAATTTACTCCTGTAATTTTGTCTTTTTTTGTTTCAACTTTACCATCATTCACCAGTATTGTTTTGGTATTAAAGTTACTGGTGGTTTTCCTTGTCTGTTTCTCCTCAGTTTCTTTGTTAATCCCGTTATTAAGCTAAAAACCGAACAAAGCCTTTGTGGCGGCGGGTACTGCTAACTGACTGCCTTCCCTAGTAATATACTCCAGAGAGAGATTAGGTCAGTTTGGTTCATGAAAGCACATCCTCTTGATATCTGACTTCACATCCGCCATGATGACGGTCTCCAGTTGGTGCAGTCATATTTGATGGTAAAACACACTGACGAATGGCACATGCCTGAAACGTAGCTAATAAAAGAGGTTTTTCTTATAAATGTGTGTTTTAACTTTTTACAGTATCTCTTGTCGCATATTTGATGGCGTCATAGGCTCAGGCGAGGATTAATCACCTCATTAGTCATATTTCATAATTACCCACAGGTGAACCTGCCAGGGTTTATAAAGGCCGCGGATTCTTTACAGCAGGTAAACAATTGTAAAAACAAAAAAAGCTCTGCTCCCTCTCACCTAATTCCCCAGTGTACCTGGGACCTGTGGACCATCCATCAGTCCGTTTTCACACAGGTGGTGAGGTTTAGTGGTAGCATTCAGAGAAAATGTTGAGAGCTTCTGGTGAGTGGAATGTCTCCGGAACAGTGATAAGACAAGTTCAAAGCTCTCCTTCCTTCGTCTTATTTCCAGAGCTAATCCTTTTCGGACTGTGCTTTGTCTACTGTGAATGTA